TGAGTTTCTGAAACTCTTCTGAGTGGTTCAAGTCTCAGTTGCCCTGATACTTGAGGAACTTGGTTACTTGTGAAAGAAGATAAAGGAAAAACAAAGACTTAGCTGAACATATTCCATTTGCCCTCCGTAGCAAGAATACAGTCAGGAATAATCAAGCTTTAAAATTTAGCAAAGATATAATAAACTTGAGATTTCAAGCAAAACCTCACCCTCCCAGGAGCAGGAGATGTGATAGTAGTATGGAGTATTCAAACATTACTGAAAATATGATACTTCGTAACTCGGGAACAAACTTGGAATATGCTGACTTCAGATTTATGTGAATGAGTGTTCAGTCTGGAAAACTCCCAAGTGGCAGTTTAAGTGGTGGTAAGAAGACATTTTTTTAAGATGACATAATCATTTTTTTAAGAGGACACAACCTCTCCTCGGCCACTCACGTGGCGAGTTCAGTGCCTGTATTTGGTGAGATTCTTGTCACTGGTGCCAATCCCAGGGGACTCCACTGAAGCCACTCAGGTGTAAAGCTATCAAAGCTACTCTGCATCTACATCTGAATTGCTCAGATTTGACTGTACCCTGAAACCTTTAAAAGCCTCTGTGTTTTGCTTTGGTATTATGTTGTTTGTTCTTTTGTGATTAGTAAAGAATTTATGTAGTCATTACATTTTCACAGTTCTCTCAAAATTTTCTGTTCATTTTAGCTGTCCAGCTGGCATGTACCAAGTCACTAACAAGTCCCTGGAAAGAAGGAAAAAAGTTTATAGCATGGGAAAAAAATTGCCTCAACTGTAATTCCTCTACCTCTCAGAACAAAAATCAAGATACCTTAAAATAGACTCTGTCATATTATCAGTGATCTCAAGGGGGATTTTTTTTCCAGGCTTTTGTATGGAAATAGGTCTTATCTCAAGAGAAGCTAACTACAACAGGTCTATATATATACATTAGCTGTGCCTTTTCCAATGCAGACAGTGTTCTTAAAATGGCTGTACTGCCTCCTACTCAGAAGATAATTGGTGCCTAACGCTTCTGGCTCTGGGGACCAATGGGCACACAGGGCGAGAAAAGAAGATACAGGGAATCTGTGTTGCTAAGATGCAAATCTATACTTGTTCTGTTGCCATAAAGAATCCTGACGTGCTCTTGCAGACAGTTTGTAATGCTGTTGTAATTTCTGTTATACTGCAGATAAGGATTTACATTATTTCGATTTCTAAATGGTAGTGCCACCTTCCTTTTTAAGATCAGCAACAATGTTCTGTGTTGCTCTTGTTTTGTAACTAGCTACATATATTGATCTAAACAGTTTGCTGAAAAGTTAGTTTTTACAAAGAACATTAGAAGTTAACAGACTATGGCATTAATTACACAAATAGTTAATTCATTTTATTTTTAAAAATAAAGATAAAAAAGTTTTGGAAATATCACAACTAGCTCTACTCTTCCAAACTTCACCTTGATTACTTTTTGAAGCATATTGCGTTACCAGTGGTAATATAAATGCATATACAAATAGGGTAATAATCAGAGATGAGAACAAAATTCTAAACAGTTACCTGAACATCCTTAAAGACAATGGAGGTGTATCTGGACTCTGATTTCATCCCTCCAAATGTTTAACAGCATGTAACAAAAGCCACTGCTGTACTCAAATGGGGGCCCTCTGTATTTATGATCTCAGGAAGAAAACTAGTTTCATGATGGTGGTTTTTTTCCAAACTTCACTCATACTCTTGAGTCTATTTGGTCTTTAGAATGACTGCATCTCCAATTGCAGCTCCAACATTTCTTTCATTCAAAATGATCTATTCATCTGTATTCATAAACATGTCAATCTACCAGTTCAAAAAATCCAACCAACCCTCCAGTAACAAACAAAAAAAAACAAACCAAAACAAAAAACAACAAAAACCTTCTCATTAATCCACCTCCCTCATTAGCTAGGATTAAAAACCTTAGGCAAAATGATTGGCCTTGTGCCCAGAAAAGCTATGAGATCAATAATCCAAATAGACTTAATGATCCTCTTACAAAAGAATAACTTTTGTACTTCTACAGATCACTTTGAGAAACTGAAGGGAAAAATACAAGAAGTGTCACATCATCTGCATAAGTTAATTTATCTGTTGGTCTGGAGTTGTACAGTTGGGGGAGAGACTTTGGGAAGCAGGTTTTTCTTCTCTCTCTGTTAAATGACATTTACGGTCTGCAAAAACAGTAGTATGAAAAATCACAAACTGTATCAGTGATTAGCCTGTAAGAGCCTAAGAAGTTTCATTAACATTTCCAGTATCTCATTTCACTCATGAGCAGTTTAAAATTATGGCATTTGTATTCCTATACAAATCAGTATTCTTTAAGACTTTTTTTTAGGCAATTTGTTGGTATCCTTATTTTGACACTACTAATTACAGCTTCTAACTTTAAAAAGTTTGATTTTTATTTTATAAGCTCAAGCGTTGACGGGAAGAAAACCAAACTAAACCCTACAGTATAGTTCTCTATCAGCACAAGAAGGTATTATATGAAGCCAGTGCCTTTGACTGAAGGCAGGCTATAAACTCCACAGGGAACATTTCTCTCATGGACAGAATGGAAATGTCTTGTGGTAGGGTAGACAACTGGCAGGTACTCAGCAGAACATATATATTGCATGTGGGTGGGCTAGAAAATTATCAGGCTGGGCTGACTGCAACTATGTGGGAATTAGCTATCTAATCAGTGCTCATCATCTATCTTCTCTTACAGTTACTGGAAAGAAGCAGGCATATCTGTAGCCCAAATCATGCCATGTATTTTGGGAGGGCATAAATCACCTTTGAATGGCCTGTTTTTTGCTATTTACACAACAAGTTTGAGTCTTAAATTTTAGTAGCTAATTTTGGCAAGATTAACCTATGCTGAAGACAACTCGCTGAAATTACAGCAAAGTGTGATGTGATGCCAGTATTTTCAGATAGATCATCCATTTGTTCTTACTCAGAAATGCCGCCTGCATAGCCAAGGTTGGCACATGGGAAATCCTGCGTGGAAGCTGAAATGCTGTTTGATCTTATGGTTCTCTCCTCTGCTCAATGAGTGGAAGAGGGAACGGCTATGTAGACCTTCCTCCAGCGTGGCTCCCAGGTGTTCCACTGGGATCTGGTGCCTCATTTCACATGGGGCTACTCAGCAACAACACAGGAGGAGGTAAGGGCTGAGCTCTCAGTGGAGCAGAGACCTCAATTCCCTTCAAGGCTGAAATAGGTCCTCCAGAGCTAGCTAGGGAAGAAGAGGTGAGCCCAGGGGGACAGAAGTGAGGGGAAAGGTTGGGGCACTACACAGCGAGGACTTGAAAAATAGATAATGGAGATGAGGTAGAATTGAGCAAATGCTGGAACCTGAAAGGATGAAATCTGATGGAAGAGAGAGACTGCAGAAAGGAGTAGCAACAGGCATTTGGAGTGGCTCTGCAGCAGACTTGAGACAGATAGAAAGTATGGACCCTTCTGGAAAAAGCGGCATTTGTTTTGTGGGGAGAAAAAGGGAAGGCAATTAACCTGTCATCCTCTGGGTGTGTTCTGTTGCTAGTGAAGATCTATCCCAGCAAAAATCTATCCTAGGAGATACATGTCTGCTTAGGAACCGTAGGGCAATCTGGGCACAGTAGTGTAAGGTTAGCATCCCTCTCCATTTTGCCATTGAAGTTACTTACTGAAATCCAGTTTCTCAGATCATTGCTAAACTCTACTTCATGCTTACACAGAAAGATCTCTTCAGAAATGTATTCATGCATTGGAAGTGTACTGCCTCTCATTTTCACTGAGGATAACTGCATAGTTTTAACAATGCTTCAGTCTGCACTGTTACTGTTTCTGTTAAGGTCATTATGTCCACTTTCACAAAAGAAAACTTACGAAGAAAGAAAACTATTTGCATCCTATTTTCCTGAGGGAAAAAATACTTTGCTAACCTGGATACATAATTTTCACAGTTCAGGTTTTCAAACTATGAAGGAAAATTTTTTCAAACTCATTATCAAGCCACTACCAAGGCAAGCAGCTCTCCCCTAACAAATAGCAGCTTCCAGGGCTGCACAGCTAAAGAAACGTAGAGACCTTCTACACAGCAGCTGCCGACACACTTTCCCTGTTAAACAAATCTCTTTAAGCGTAACTGAAAAAAAGTCTCCTTCTCTCTCACCTAGACACACTATAAAAATAATTGCTTAATAGATGCCAGCTAAAGGGTATAAAAACAAACCTAAAAGATCTACAGCAATAATGACTTTTAAGTTGGTACTGGTGATGCAAAATAAAATCTAGTCAGTAAATAAATTCCACTAGGAAAGCTAAGGAAATGTAAAGCAACAGCTACTTCTGTAAAATATGGCTGTGCTACCAATGCAAACACAATAAGACAGTCCGAGACTGAAACAGTAAACAGGATAAAGTTACTAAAAGAATAAATTCCCTATCTCTGTTGTTTGCAAACACTAGAAAATTCAAAACATTTTTGTAGGAGAAATTAGCATTTTTCTGAGCAAAAAGCTTGTAATTTATTCTGGTTCACTACAGAATAATAAATAATAATATGCTAGCCACTAGAGTGCCAGATATCATAGTACCTGTTTTGCAGGCAATACTAAAATCATACCTGGAAAGAGTTAATAACTTTACTCTAAAATAATACTTCTACTTTTCTTAGGGTTTCAGTAATAAATGCTTTTAATTACCCAGGGAAAGAAGCCATAATAAAACAATAACTACGGGAAGCTTTCAAGCAAGTACCTCGCTCAAAGATGAATGCTACTCCAGTCAAATGTTCCAAGTTCAACTAATATGATACCATTTTGCCGCCTCCTTGAAGTGAGACCATTTTGAAGACTGATTCTGCAGTAGTTCACTGTAGCACTTCAGTTTTAAACCTGATCTAATGAACAGCCATAGATGCTATGGACTCTAAACATAAAGAATTGACATGTTAGCATATTAATGTACTCAGATGTCACATAAATCATTAGAAGACAGTTTACTGCATGACTCAGGTATCTGGCAACGTACATGCAAAGCCTCTTTAGCTCTTAAATATAAAGCAACTTCCTTTTGGCAAAGTCCTGAGTATACAACATTGACTGTAGTTATTTATAGCTCAAATGCTATTGCTGAAAATTTCTGAAAGTTGTAGATACTGTATTAACTATAGTAAAGCTCTAAAAATCAGTCAGCAGGGGCCACTTCAATCTCCGCATGATAATAAAGGATTATTATGTGCAGTAACCTATTTATGAAAAGGAAACAGTGTGCTTCTTTCAGACTCCATCAATTGCTTTAATAAGGAATTGAAAAGCCTGGCCTACTTTATATGCAGATCACCATCCCAGTTGCATAAGGATTTACAATAGACAAAACAAAACTGTTTTTGTTGTAAATAAGGGCTGTTTGTTTAAATCACACAATAATGTTTGCATCTAAAAATTATTTAGAAGCTAATAAGGCTTAATAAAGTTTGACTGTATACTTGTTAATAAAAATGGTTTCAATATTCTTCAGGAAGGAAATGTAAATTGAAGGTGATAACGTGAAGCTTGGAGTAAAACAGGTCTGAGTTAATGGCAAAGAAGACTTACTGCATTTGTTCAATGATGAGCTTAAGAAAACCAATGTTGAGAATGGAATTCAGTTAAAACATTTTACAAAGTTTACAATAACGAACTTAATAGTAGTTTTCTCTAGTAGATTAAAATTACTGTAATATTACTTTTGCTTTAGAGACTGCAAACTTGACATAGTTCAGACTACTGAAAGTTACTGTGATGCACATACTGATTTCTGCTACCTTGATTTGGAGAACTCCAGAGACCCAGGTTCAAATTTTACCTTTGGCATTGGTTCATCTGTTAATAAATGTAATGAGGTGTGGGATGACCCCTGCTGGTGTCCCTGCTTATAAAAAAAAAAAAACACACAAAAACAAAAACAAACAACAACAAAAAATGTATCTGGCAGGAAAAGGACATGTTAATTTCAGTCCAAAAAAGTTACAAGTACAAACTCTGTCATAAAATGTATAAAAATTCCTAATTTAATGCATAAAATATGAGTCACGTTCTCTTAAGTATGAAAATAATCTTAAACCACTAAACATTGCTGTGTTAGATCTGCAATGCAATGTATTAAGAAGGACATTAATTGTTCAGTTCACTATGATATTGTGTTAAACGTCTTTTATTAATAAGCTGTTACTCCCAGCTGAGGCATTTGATAACCTCTTGTATGCTGCTAAATCCTCTCAGCTGATTTCAGTGAATCACTCTAAACAAACCTAGAGGGAAAAAAATACCCCAATAATTTACATTTGAGTCTGTAAAGTCCTAGAACTAGATTAATTTAAAGAATGGCAGCTTTCCTATAAATCAAACCTTCTGATTTAATGCAGCTGACATATAGATCTATTTTACAATTTTTTTTAATTTCAAAAATACAACACATTAAAATAGGTTCAATTTATCAAAGCTAAGAGCAACAATTAAGTAATAATGTACTATAAAGTGCAAAGGCACTTTAACACAAAAAAGTGACGCCCAGTGGCTATACTTGGTAATTGAAACAGCAGTACTGTATATTATTATTTACAAAAGAAAGTCATAGTCCAGGAAAAGAGATCTTTGGAGATCTTCTACATAATACATTAAGTTTCCACTTTAAAATTAAAAGGAAAAAAAAAAAAAAAAAAACAGAAAACCCAAAGACTCCCTTCCTCATTTCCTTCCAAATAAAAAAGAATTATGCAAGATCTATTACAGAAACATACATTTGCAGTGACAGTTCCTACAGAAGGGTCAAAAGGAGAGAGAGATAGAAATAACTTAAAGGGAACGTTGCAGAAGCAACATCATATCCCTGCTATGCTGTAAGGATTCCATTTCTCTCTCACTCCCTCTCTAATTTAAAAAGTGGAAATGTTGGGAATGCAACAGATGACATCAGCATTGAGTTCAGACTCAATCAAATATGATGCTGAGCTCATTTAAAAACTTTCCTTTGTCTCCCACCTCCCCCCTCACAGTTGACTGATTGCAGTTTGTTTTTCCAGAACTTCGAGGTAGTCTGGTTCCGTTTGTAGCTTTCCTTGGAGTAAAGGATGCTCAGGTTTAGACTGTTCTGCAAAATATTTCCTGGGAGTTCCATATAAAACAGTTTTATTTATCCTGTCCTGGTTTTGGCGTCTTGATTCATATGAAGGGGCAAACTGCCTTTTGGGTAAGGTGCAAAAGTTATAATGAACTAATCCTCCAGTGGGGAGTTCCTTGACCCTTTCTGCAATATTTTGATACAGAAGCTCTGGTTCCCTTGGTGAGGATTGCTTTTCCAGTAATTCAGCTGCACTGATTGTAAATGCAAGACTGGTGGGGTCTTCCTTTTTGTGGTCAAGATTGCTATAGCTAAATTCGTGGAGATTCCTGTAATAGGCAACTGGATCCCCTTCCTTTTGCATGTAGATTGGGTTTTGACACATCTGTCCAACAGGAGGGGGAATGTAGTTATAAACATGTCCTTCAGTTTTATCGTGGGTCTCTGTGTTGTAAGACCCGTACTGAAGCTGAAATGAACTTATATCTAAGTTGTTTGCACTGCTGGGCATGCTTTGTACCCCCTTCCGTCGCTTAAGGACAAAGACAAACAGGCCTGCCCCAAAACAGACTGACAAAATAAACACAACCAGCAAGCCTAAAATTAAGACAGACAGTGGAACTTCGGTGTGTATTTCTGGGTAGGAGCTGGGCGAGACACCAAGGAGATGGGGTGTATCTGTGTTCTGGTTCATGGAGAAGAGAGAAGAATCTGACAAGTTGGGGTTCTCTGGGCAGATGACTTCTTTGCTCAGGAATTTCAGATGCTCTCCAGAGAGCTTGGTGGGAGACTCACATATGACTTCATTGATAACTACAGGTGGATTTGACTGATGGTTGTTCTGGTCAGTGACTTGCTCTATCCAGTTCCTCAGCCCCAGGATGTCACATGTGCAGTCCCAAGGGTTCTCCTGGAGGTCTATCTGAATTAGAGCTGAGAGCTGGTCCAAGACTCCCCTCACAGGCAGGTGTGAGAAATGGTTGTTTCTGAGATTGAGTCTGGTGAGGGAAGTGCCACCAAAGACATTGTCAGGCAAGGATCTAAGCAGGTTGTTATTGAGAAATAACAGATGAAGATTACTCAGAGCATCAAAGGTGCGTGGCAAGATCTCCTTAATGACATTGTATTCTAGGTAGAGATACTGCAGGCTATGCAGCCCATCGAACATAGATGGGTACAGAATCTCAAGGTAGTTGCCATTAAGATAAAGTCTACGTAAACTTGTAAGGTTTGTAAAGGCACCTTCTTGTATCACTGCAATTCTGTTATTTCCTAGATGTAACAAATCCAGAGAGCTGTACTCTATGAGATCGGTTCTATAAATGACTTGCAGATAGTTACTGGTAAGGTAAAGTTTCTTTGGACTGGTTGGTCTAGGGTGGAGATCAGAGACATTACTTATCTTTTTCTCTTGGCAATTCACATTCAAGCCATTGTCTGAGCTCTGCGAAGTACAAATGCAGCCAGCTGGGCAGGTGATGGGCACAGGAGACTTTGTCTGGTAAACCATGATAGGTCCGAATATTTGCCTGTCTTTTGACACGGTGACACGGGGCGTGGGGCGGTTCCTAGTTTTGGGTGGCCGACTGGCTTTTGGGGCTCTGGTGGGATTGATGGCAGAGTTGGCTGTGGGTGATAGCCTCGAGATGTGTGGGTCTGAGAGGACAGGGTGCTTTTCCCTCTGGTTTGAATCACTGGAGCTTTTCCTAGGGCAGAGATCTTGCCTGGTAAGCTGGGTCACATCTTTCCCATGAAGCCTGAAGGGGGTTTCGCAGACTATCTCACCAACGAACACGGTGATGGTATCTAGCCAGGCCTTGAGTGGCAGCAAGTCGCAGGTGCAGTTCCAAGGGTTTTCCTCCAGCTGGATTTCCATGATGCCTCCAATGTGCTCCAGCACACCAGCAAAAGGCATCATCTTCAGACGGTTCCCTCGCAGGTCCAGGTGAGTGAGAAGCACAAAGCGGAAGACATTGCTGGGCAGGGACAGCAGGAGGTTGTCATTGAGAATCAGCACCTTGAGCTTGTTTAGCTTGCTGAAGGCCCCTGCCTCAATGGCACTGATATAATTATAATCAGCCTGTAGGTACTCCAGACTCTCCAAGCCCAGGAAGGTGTCTTCCTTCAGCACTTCCAGCTTGTTGTTATTGAGATGCAGCCTCTTGAGGGTGCGGAGGCCGCTGAAGGCCCCTGTGCGGATCTCCTGCATGTCGTTGTTGCCCAAGTGGAGGGTCACGGCATTGGAGTAGTTGACAAACTCATTGGGGAACAGGCGGGTCAGCGCGTTCCCATTGAGAAACAGCTGGTAGATCTTGGACGGTGGCGGCAGGAGGAGGCTGACGGTTGTAAATCCTTTGTTTTCACAATTAATGTTCAGCACGTTCTCCTTCTCCTCACAAGGGCAGCGGCTCTTGCTGCAAATGTCTTTAGCAGGTTTGCGACTCTCTGTCTGTGAGATCCCAGCCACTGTTAACAAACTGAGCAACCAAACACCCTTCAGCATCTTTATGCACCGTCGATCCCTGCTTCAGTACCTACAGTCAAACCTTTTGAGACAGGTAAGGAGAGAAAGAAGAAATCCCCAGTGAAAACGGCCGGGAGCAGAGGCTGCAAGGGGAGGGCAAAGCAGGTTGCAAGGGTGGGGGGAGGGGGGCGGCAAGGCAGCGACTTGCAAAACTCCTCCGAAACCCTCCCCACCCCTCCTTTTCCTCTCCGAAAGCGCCGGCGGAGCAGCTGTGGGGGAAGCCACGTCGGGGAGCTCTCGGAAAACCGGGGCCCCCAGCGCTGCTCGACCCCTCCGCCCGCCGCAGCGGCCGCCGGCAGAGCGGCCCCGGCCCCGTCCCCGTCCCGGGGCAGCCCCCGCTCCCAGCTCCCGTTCACTGTCAGATTTTAAACCGGGGAGGGAGAATAAACGCCCACAAACCCTCCCCGCCCGGCTCCCCGTGCCTCCCCGCCGCGCTCCTCGGCTCGTACCTGCTCTCGGGCCGCCCGAGGGGGCAGCAGGGGCCGGGGCCGCCGCCGAGTGCCGCCGCCGCGCCCCGGGAGCCAGGCGCCCGGCGGCGAGAGGCATCGCCCGCCTCACGCCTCAGGAGGAGCCCGGCGAGGAGCCGCCGTCCCGTCCCGGCGGGAAGTTGGGCCGGGCGGGGGGGGGGGGCGAGGAGCGGCGGCGGCGACGCCGCTGCGGGAGCGCGGGCGGCTCTGCGCGGGGCGCGGCGCAGCGCGGCGCTTTTGCCGGCTGCCCCGCACGGAGCCGCGCTGACGTCACGCCGGGGGCGGGGGGGACACGTTTTTCCCAGCCCCCCCTCCCCTCAAATTCTCCCCCCCCGCCCCGCGCCGCTCTCCCCTCCCGGTGGCTCCCGCAGCCGGCTCCGCTGCTCATCGGGGGAGCGCTCTGACCGCACCTGCAGCCGCGCCCAGGACAGCGCGGGGACTCGGAGCCGGGGAGTGGGATAAGGTAACAAGCGAATTTACCTCAGTCCGGAGAATTTTTTTGGCCCCGAGTCCCTAAATCCGTGCCCTCAAAACCGAGAGCATCAAATCAAGCAGCTTCTTCCCCACAAGCCAGCCGGCAAGCGCACACCCACCGCACACATGCACGCACGCACCCACCGCACACACACACGCCGCACACATGCACACACGCACCCACCGCACACACGCACACACACACACCGCACACACACCACGCACGCACAATCCGGCTCTCGGAGCAGGGGTGCTGCAAAACCCGGCTCTGGCATCCGCAGCTGCCCCGCTCCGGCCGCAGCAGCTCCCCCCCCCCCCCCCCCCCGCCCCGGGCTCTGTCCGGCGCCTTGGCGGCTCCTGCGCGTTCAGGGAAGTTGAGCATCTTCCGCCCGACTGGGCCGGCAGGTAACGGCAGCCCCGTGCCTGGATCTCTGTGCCTGAATCCCTGCGCGCTCTGGAAAGCTCACCCGAGTGCCTGGCAGCTAAACCCACACCTAACGGGATCGTTCACACCGGCTAGACGAGTCCCGCTGCCAAATTGCAATGTTATGGTATGGCGTTTGGCTGCCGTTAAAAAGAACAAGATGTTGGATGTGGGTTATTGTCACTTCGATTAAGCACCCTGCACTAGGCACAAATCTGTTTGATGGGAAAGGATGTCTGTTCTTGGTCTCTATCTGGAAGGTAAAATTTCAGTTTCACCCTGAGGAGAAAAAAAAAAAAAAAAAAAAAAAAAAAAAAAAAAAAAAGACACTCCACAATAAATTTTTAAAGTGCTAATATGGCAGGGTGAATTATTACCAGATTTTTATAGGGAGCTACACGCACTTCACTTAGTCTTTAGAACATAGAGGTTTGCTGCCAAAAGAGTGCTGGACTTTACAAAAGTGGTACTGTCACCCTGTATTATTCTTTAGCCATAATGTGTCCAAGCCCACATTTTAGAAGCAGCAGAAATGTCTATTTTTATGAGCAGTCTATTCTTATGGGGGTTTGGGATCGGAAAAAGGTAGCATCCTGCAGCAGCCAGCGCAGATGCCTTTGCAGTGCTGCTGCTAGGCAGGAATAGTGCTGGAGTTTGCACTCAGGATTGGAGCAGCTGCAACTTCCCTATCTAAAATTTTGAGATGTTGTGGAAAAAGCTGGAGCATCCCACACTGGAACATGCTTTTTGGTGTGGTGCTGCACAAATTTCAGCAAGATTGGGGTTCTGAAATGCACTCAGAGCTGCTCCATTTCTAACTCTCTTTATCCAGCTGAATTCAGGAGCAAAAATTGCTAAGATCTGGAAGGATGTGTGTAGCAGATCTGGGGTTTTACAACACTAATACAACTGCAGCCAGATTATTGTTCTGTGATATTTTTGTTTGTTTGTTTTCTGATTTAAACATTAAGAGCATGGTGTTTGGGGAGCAAAATTGGAGTAGTTACAGAAAATAGCAAATCTTTTTTTCAGATCTTTCTAACAGAGTCTAGGGATATGAGACTAAAAAGAGAAGGTAAAGGTAGACTCAGGTTGATTTTTTTTTTTTTTTTTCCTGAAGGTAGCATATTCATACACACACCTGCCCCACTGACACGTGTACAGAGGCATACACACGTTCCTGTAACCTACCTTCAACATACCTCACCTGAGCAGCCCTGCACAGCGTTGCCAGCACTCACAGGGCTTGCTCCACCACAGCAAAAGCTGAAGTCAGAAGTCAGTCCAGTGCATTTTTCTCTCATCTCACAGCGTACATCTGTTTCATGTCCGTGAGTTTCAGTGACAGGCAGCTCTCTGGTGAGCAAGTATCATGTCCTGGAATTGGCTCATGGGGCAACATATACTGTCCCACTTGCCTGCGTTTACTAGTATGCAGGAAATGTGTATGTGGCAACTGCTGATGCTGCCTTGGAAGTGAAAGTGTACGCATGGCATGCCTCAGCAGTAATTACCAGATTCATGTGGGATGGAAGGAACAGCATGTTAGGGGATTGCAACAGTAATAAGACACAGAGATGATACTGATTCTATTACACTGCAAATGCATGCATATAATAACTGTTGTTGTAGGAGGAGGAACAAGGATTTAAAAAAAAAAAAATAGCTACAGCTTTTTATTTAGGAACAAAGTCATGATTTCTCAGCATGCCTGAAGTGTTTTATAATCCCTTCAATTAAAAACAGGGTATAAAAGAACAGCTTTTTTTCCCCACCTGTTTTACTGCCTTTTTATTTTGCATGTCGAATGTGGGAACATTTTCAGGCTGTGACTAACTGGGAGCCTCCAGGAATGGAAGACCAGGAGGCACGTTGATACAGCAGCCTATGAGGGTTTGGGAAAACTCAGTGTTACGCCTGATTTGTAAGCATTGTGAAGGTTTCTTTTTTTCCTAAATACTTTGCTGTGTTCCCCCATCCCCTTTTTTGGAGCAAAGTCATGAAGACTGCATACAGATTCATGAACTTACAGATTCATAGATTATAAGGGAACTATTGTGGCTTTTGGATCTTGCATAACCCAGGCCTTCAGCTAAAATTGAATTAATTACTATTTAAACTAGATCATACTTCCTAGAAAAAAAGAAAAACAAAAACCTAAAATAACATTAATATCCAGGCGTACTTGAGCAATTGTCTATGATGAAAATCTGCCATAATGTTTAGTAAATTGTTCCAATGGCTTTCATCTCCCAGAGGTAAAAAATTGTGCTTTCTGTACAACTCTGCATCTGGCTACCTTCAGTTTGAAATTTTTATCCTTGTGATATCCTTGTCTGCTGGCTTAAAAGCCTGTAATTATCCCATACCTGTTTCCCATGGGAACACTCCCAGACTGCTGCAGAGCAAGTATGAGCTAAATACTTTCCTGATACTAGCCTTAACCACCTTAATATAGCCTGTGTTAGTCCTATGCTGGTACATACACCAAAGCAGCTCTTGGCTCCTTCATGGTCCTAAAGCCACCACTTTACCTATCTGCTGGCAGGGGAAAAAAAAAATCCAGACCACAGCATGAAGCATAAGAACATAAAATTTGGCACAGATGGTTACCCTTCCTGTCTAGTGCACATCATGCTGTTGACCTTCTGTGAGAGTAAATATCAAGGAGCAGAGTAAGTCTGGAAATGTGGAGATCATTTTCTTTCTCCACATTTTATCTGTAGATGGATGCTAAACACTACTTACAAAATTTTACTGATCAGGTTATCTGTTTCTACTTCTCTGTATATAAATGAAGAAGGAACAAATGTATCCACAAAGTCTCACTGAATAAGGAAAAGAGTGCAGCAAGAAACTAAGCAAAAATCTCCGCAAATTGGATGGAGAGCAGGATTTAAGTTTTACTGATCATTAGAAACTATCAAGGTAGCCTGGGTGCTGGTGGTGGGTAAGGAGGGATTTATTAATGTACTATAAATAGATGCCAGTATTGACTTTTGTGAACAAAACATGATGACTGATGTGGTAAAGCAATGGGAATTTGTAAATTTAAGTATTTAGTGATCTCATATGTTCCTCATTCTGTGATCCTGAACTACATAATATGAGTTTCCTACTAAATGTCAGTTTTTAGGCTTCTGAAATAATTATTACTATTCAACAAGTACCCTATATTCTTGCTTTCCAAGGGGATATTTCTCTGTATGCCCATGTGTGTATATGTGTGCCTGTTTGTAGCTAGAGACATTCTCCCTCTGTGAGTATGTGCATTTCTGGAATATTTCCTGTACTGTAAGTGGGATATTTTTGTGCCTCACTTAAGAGTAATTATTAAGGAAATAAACAGTTTCCAGATTTAGCAGTGAGCAGTGTGCAAAATAATTGTTACTTGTAATCCAATGTTTTATCTCATCCAGCAGCACTGGAAAGTATGATGTAAAAGAAAGGGCAAAAACGGGGGCTCTGGCTTTCCCTTCCTTTCTTTGGAGAAGGGATGGGCAAGGTGTGAGTGAAGGAGGGTGAGTGTAAGAGACAGGGAGGAAGGAGCTGGCGGGCGCTGCCCTCCATGGCCCTGGTGCCCATCCCCGCTCACCCGTGCTGCCCAGCAACAGGGAACTGGTGCAGTGCATGCCCAGGAGAGGCAGAGGAGAGAGATGTTTGTAATGAAGCCTCCGTGGGAGGAGAGCCGGTGGATGTACCAGTCTGTGGGCAGCAGGGCACTCCTGAGTGACAGTGGCTTCTGAGTGTGTGGTGTCCTCTCAGTTGCTTTTTGCTGGCAGTCAGTAATTGCTTTTGCTGTTACCTGTAATGAATTTCATTGGTTTCCAGATACATTTTTTAGCTCCATTTCCCCCAACCGTTCAAGCATATGGAGAGCCATGGGCTACTTCAGAAAATTGTTTACTGCAGTTTCATGACTACCTCCCTTATAAAGAATTTAATGAACTATGATTTAAAATCAACATGTTTTGTGATTCTTCCCTCAGTTGCCATTTCCTACAAGGACTCAGATCCTGGCCAAGGATACACAGTTTTGAGACTCATTATCTAATTACAACATAATTTTTTGCAAAAACACTTTGCCATGATTTGTTTTGGTATATCCAGGGTAATCCGTTTTGTAACAGCACAGCATGATTTTACACTGGTGGTGCAAAATGCAGCAGTAAAACTATCAATTTCTGATGCTTTGTATCATTAATGTGGAACCCTAACTCTCTTAAAACTAAGAAGCAAATTTAATGAGTTATAATGCCAGTAGCAGTGGTTTCATCAGAAAATGTGATAGAGGAGCTGTCAGAAATCATCCCAAGTAGCCTGTGCACTGGGGATACTGGCAGACACCACTATGTAACCAAAACTGCACTTTATTTTTTTAGCCCAATTTTTTTCTTTGTTGCATAGACAAACAAATCTCCCCTTCCCTTGTACACACACACACACCTTTTAGCATGGGACCCAGCAAAGTACTCTAAGACGGTTGATATTTATGGATGTGTTCATCCTATTCAGCAAAGTAGTATGTCTGATCCAAAGCCCTTTGGTGTCAGTGAGAGGACTCCTACTGATTTCAGTGGGATTTGAATCAGATCTTTGAACAAATGTCTAACTTAAAAGCATGCATTTCAGTCTTATTAAGTGGGTTAAATATTTTTGGCAGTGCTTTGTTTCATCATGTCAATGGGTCTTTTTCTCTGCTAGGAACAGTGAGATGAATCTTCTGATGACATTGCTGAGCCTCAAGAACAAAAAAATAGTGTTTTTTTCCATCCTTAAAACATCAATGGATTTATTGTTCCTTTAATTTCAAATGTGTG